CTCTGTTATTTCTCCCTGCAGTGCCACTTAAATTGGTTTCCTTGTCAGAAATCAAGTGTTTTTTATGAGCTTTCCTTCAGGAGCAAGTAGATTTTTACTCGTGAGTAACGTTTTACTGCCAGTCTAGTCAGTCACTTTTAACTAATTATTGCTTGATGTCTTCTCTTTAATAGCTGCAGTGTCCCAAAGCCTGCCACTTAGACGTGTATGTATAGCATGTCCGCAGCTTGGTGATGGTTTTAATTTTCTCCCCCCCCTCCCCCTTGTGAATGAGCTATGGAGTTTTATTGAAGACTCGTAGTGCCTCCGGTTTTGATTTAGTGTTTTGGAGTTTGTGATCTCATTGCCCAGTATGGAAAATATTAGGCAGGGTCTGCAGAGTGTATGCAGGGAAAGACCCGCATCACCGCTGTGGACCGAGGGAGCGTCCCCATCGCTGCAGTAAACCAACTGCACAGCCAGCTAGGACCCACGTTCAGTTTTTATGCCTTTGGATACGGACCATCCAGTGAGTCCTGCTGATGCAAAAGGTTCTTGAAGACACCGGTTCTCCAGGTGGCTGCACTTTGGACTCAGGCGGGCAAGGGTGTGGAAGCCCCAGAGCTTCTGACTGAATTTGTCTGGATGCAGCCCGGGCACCTGGATTTTAAGAGCTGCCTGTGTGACTCGAATGTGCATTAAAGTTCGAGACTGATTTAGTGCAGGGATGATGTAATGCAATGCTCCCTGCTTTGCAACTATTTTCAGGGATGCAAGCAGGACTGATTGGCCTCACTCACTTCCGTGGACACCTTAACATGACACACACGCACATTTAAGTCCGCTTCTTCAGTGCCTTTCCTGTGCATTTTTACACTATGTCACTTTCACCCTGTTGGCAACAGCCGAAAAGGGCGAACGCTGCGCTGCCTTCTCAGCCTCCAGTTGCTGCCCTTGGTTTGCTGTCTTTTCAAACAAGACCCCTCTGTCCCCCGGCCCGGGCACAGGTGATCACTGCCTTCTGGTTAAGTGGAACCATCTGCACAGTGACCTGGGGGCGGGGCCAGAGGGGAGATGGCGATTGGCTCAGCCACTCGGCGCTGGAAAGGTGACAATGGATCGTGAAGGCTGCTCAGCGGGGGAATCAGAGTCACTGAAGAGTCTGAGGGGGTGGGAGTTGAACTGGACTTTCCACCTCGTTAGATAACACTGTTCTCTAACTTGTAAAATAGCAGAAGACATCCCCCAGTCAATAGGCATTGATTGCTATTTTTATGATTAATGCCGCTGTAACACTATTTGATTGCCATGCACCTTGGAGGAGGCAATTTCTTCACATTGGCTGTGCTAGTGATGCATTTTAGCTCTCGGAGCTGCTAGCCCCTCCGACCGCTGGCTTGTGATAAAGATAGAAATTCAAGAATCCTGGCGGGGAAGGGTACGTAGGAGAGGGGGAGAGGGAAGTAAGAGAAAGAAAGAAAATGCTTCGCCTTCCTCTTTAAAGTCTCAGAAACCAATGAAGACAAAACTCCTCCTTTTCATTCTTATTAGCCTTGCCTTGGTAAGAAACGTTAAGCTTCAGATTGCTTTATTTGATTCGATTTTTATTGTCTTATAAGTGTATGCATATTCCAAAATACGAACTGCATTTCATTCTGCAACAAGTTCCAGGAAAATCAGGGCTAGTCTCTTGCTGCAGGACCTTTATGCCCTTGACTTTTAAAGTACAGCTTTTTAAGACCTTTTTTAGCTATAAAATTCTGTCTCTAAGTGACGACCAAGACTAAGAAAACAAATATATTAATTCTTTGTTATTATTATTACCCATTAACGCTGTATTTGACATTACACTGTTTGACACAATAACACATTATTATATGGTGTGTGTGTGTGTGAGAATGAAGCAGGGCAAAAACAAACTATGTTTGTGTTGTGGGAAAAATATTGATGTTTATTCTTGTCTTGATCTTAACTTCTTTGCCCAATGTTGTCTTTTTCACCTTATACTTTGACCCTGGTTTTTCCATGTTTTTGTTTGTTTGTTTTTAAGTTTCTTTATCTTTATTGTTGAGAATATTACAGATGTCCCCTTTTTATCCCCACTGATCCCCTCCACCCCGCATCCATCCCACCCCCAGGCCTTCCCCGCACCAATGTCTGTGTCCATGGGTTATGCTTATAAACATATAAGTTCTTTGATTAATCTCTCCCCACCCACTCCCTCCTCCCAGGCTTCCCTCTGAGATCCCTCAGTCTGTTCCATGCAAATATATTAATTCATGTGGGGTTTTTAGGGCTTGTTTATGTTTTTAAATCTTCCATGGGCACCTCTTGAGGAGATCTTAAAATGTATATTTTAGAAACTGCATCAATCTTGTAAAAAAAATTTTATGATCATCTACTTTACTAAGATTATACTGTTTATACAATGTTCACAATCAATGTTAAACTACTTTAAAGTTATATGAAAATCAATAATAATAACAGCAACAACACTAAAACCTAAAATGCCCTGAAAGTGACGCAGTGTTTCTCAGCAACAGCCAGAAGCTTAAAGGTTATAGGGTCGTAACAAGGCAAAAGCAGATGCTGAGCATGGCTACGGGCCTGCAGGCTTTGCAAACGGACGTGCTGAGAAAATGAGTTTTGACAGGGTTTCCAAGTATCGAGACGTCGGCAAAGTGGATAACCGAGCTAATGTTTGCCCGCCTGGGAAATACTCGCCTTGGGAATATCGCTTCTTGACAGGACGACAGCGAGAGACGTGTTCCCCGACCGGGAAGCGTGAGCGGGGCTGTCCGCTTCAGTTTTTGTAATAACACCTCCGGCTGAGGGGGCCTCTGCTTAGTTTAATCTCTGTTCCGTAAATTACTCTTCACAAAACACCCCCCAGTGGGGCTGCGCAGACTGGCCTTTGCATGTGCGGGACATGTGTTTGCAATGTCAGCCCCCTGGTTCGGGCAGAACGAATCTGGCACTTTCATCTTAGTTTCTCTTTAAGCTGGGGCATAGGTAACTCTGGAAGACGGGCCGTGAACTTGGCTTGGGCTTGGCCTTGGCTTGGCTTATGGCAGAGCTTTCATCGGACAAGGAGCCTTCGGTGGGGTTTGACGGCGGTTTGTCCAGGCTTGAGGCCCGTTGTCGTTTTGGGCCGTGTTCACGCTGCCTTTTATCACAGAGGGAACGGGACTTACTTCTCTAGTCTCACTGAGTCTCTAGCCACTCTCTAGTCTCACTGAGTCTTTAGAGCTTTCCTCTGTCTCTAATATTTAAGCTGAGGGGAAGGAGAGAGGAATTTATGATCACACCTGGTTGGAGCCACTACCCATGGCGAGGACGTGTGCTCATGGTGGAGTTGGCACACAGAGGTCCGCACATTCTCTTTAAGGCTCGGTGTCTACAGGTCCAAGAAAATGCTCATGCACCTCCAACTCAGAGAATGACCTGGCTACAGGAAAGTATAATACTGACAAGTGTAGGCTTTTTATTAGCTCTAAATTCTTGGGTTGGAAGCCAGGCTCTACCACTTCTTTGAGACCTAATCTTATTGAGCCTCTGTGGGCTCACCTACCAGATGGGGTTCTAGTAAGGATTAGGGGGCCTAACCATTCTTAAAACAACGCTTAAAAACGGGAGGTGGTTAATCAGTAGCCATCATTCTTGTTGTACTATTTCTCCATATTTTAAGATACTAATACATTTTAATTTCTGTCTCTTTCCTAGAACATCTGTTAGACATGCCGTGGGTGATTTACTCATCAAAATACTTATAAATCAAGCTTTATAAAGTTATGTCCTGAGAAGAAGAATTTTCCTGAGTTTCTGTTTGCTTACCATTTTCTGTAGTGTTTCTGAGGCACTGCCCTGGGCTGGGATCAAGACGCTGAAGTGACAATCATGGGGAGACAGGATCGACTGCCAACAAAAGGTGAGTGACAGGGGTGTCTAATGGCAGCTGTAAACTCTCCTGGTTGAGAAAGCTGAGAAGAAAGGCATCAATAGTCAGCCCCAAGTTTTCTTATTGGAGCCGACTCTTCTTGAAACGCTGGCCCAGCACTAACAGGATCCACGGGCCTGCCCTGGCGCTCCCTGCTGTAGCAGCAAGCACTCCTTTTGTCAGATAAGATCTTTCACTTGTGTACTTTCTTCCTTGCTTTTTTGTCCTGAATAGAGCCTTTTCCTTCCTTGTCTTTTGAACACGTTCTTGCTTCTCCAGGAAGCACCAGGGGCTCCCTTAGGGAATGGGCCTCACACTTTGGGAACCAAGGCCCAGGCTTGGTGTTCAGGGACTGTCTCCCCTCCCTGCACAGGCCCCTGCTGTGACGGGTGCCCCTGGTGGAGTGAGGCTGTGACTCTCCTACCCTACCTTCAGTTACCATTTTCCCACAAATTCGTATCTTTCTTGGGTTGCCCCACATTTTTAACTTTCCCCCATTCCCTAAAGTGCCTCAAGATTTTGGTGAAGGGGCATATTCTATTCTTTAAAAGGCTATATGTCATTCGTACTTTATTAATCTAGGCAGAGAGCGTTAGTCGTCTTCTGGCCTCTTTATTGTGTGGCCAGGCACTTACTATGGTGGGTGCTGCTGGGGGCCCCATTCCACACCTCCGTCCAGGTCTGAGACTCTCATCCCCCTGCTGGGAGTGTTGACGCTAACAGCTCACAGTTGAGCTCTCTTTCCATTGTCCAGAGTTGACAGCCCCAGAAGATACCCCCACCCCAGGGCATCCCACAGTTAATGACTGCTGATGTGGGGGCACAAAAGCTTCAGTGGCCTCCAATATATCTACCCCTAAAGAGCAACAGAGCCTCATTTTTAAAAACTCTTCTGAGTTAACTGTGCTTTCGTGATGTTCCCCTCCCTGCCCTGTCCCCCTTTCCCACACCAGCACGTGCAATATTGGCAGCAGCCATTGGAAAGCCAAGGGGCACTTTGAGGATATGAATGAGAGGAGGGGCCAGAGGATGAGAGGGAAACAGAGGCGGGAGGACACCCTGTCAAGGACCTCCCTGGGTCCTGACGGGTGAGGTCTATGGGCAGAATCGCTTCTGCCTCCTTTAGCTGTGACTGTCATGAGCACTGCCTACTCTCTCTTTTCCTGCCTTCCAGGGCTTTACCCAGCTGCTAATGAGTGAGGGTTCCCCAAAGCCAAGGACGTGCTCACTGAGGTCCCAATATCAGGTCCCCAGCTGATACCTCCTTCTAGAGCCTTTATTCTGCATTTACAACAGCCTGCTGCTCCCACTCACCACCTCCACCACCACCACCACCGTTGCCACCACTATCACTTCTACCACCACCACCTCCACAGGGCCACATCTGCCCTGCGCCCAGGAGGAAGACTTACTGGTTCTCCTGGCTCTGCTCATGTCATGACCATCCTTTCCTTCTCTCTCCATATCCCCTAACCCTCTCCTCCCCTCACCACCAGCATCCCCAATCCTGTCTATTCTGTTGNGCTTCCTCATTCTCCTGGCTCTGCTCATCTCATGACCATCCTTTCCTTCTCTCTCCATATCCCCTAACCCTCTCCTCCCCTCACCACCAGCATCCCCAATCCTGTCTATTCTGTTGTCACTGATACTTTTCTTTTCTGCTGGAATCGCCATCACTCCAGCTCATAGCAGCCTGTTCTCAATGCTTTAGTCACCTGCTACCTGAACTTCTTCCTCCAGGTCTCTGCCCTCCTATGCACCCCAGACACTAACCATTCACATTTCTGCCTTTTATTTAAGCATCTTGACTTCTCTNTTCCAGGTCTCTCCCCTCCCATGCACCCCAGATCTCTATAACACTAACCATTCACATTTCTGCCTTTTATTTAAGCATCTTGACTTCTCTGGGGACTCTCCTGTGCCTCTGTCTCCCCATTAAAATGGATGAACTGAGCCTGTTTCCTGTTACCTGACTGAATTCTAGGGCTGCCCTCAGCACATTGCCCNTAAAATGGATGAACTGAACCTGTTTCCTGTTACTTGACTCCGAATTCTAGGGCTGCCCTCAGCACATTGCCCCTAATTATTTGTGTACGAGTCTCTTTCCCCAGGGGAATGCCAGAGCCTGGGTTGTGGGTGTTGAGCAGTGTTCATGTCAGCACCCGCAGCACCTGGCTCGGAGTCTATATGTCTGAGGCACACAGGAAATATTTGAATGGGAAAATGAAAATGCAACTCTGATAGGTTCAGTTATTNAAAAATGGATGCACTGAGCCTGTTTCCTGTTACCTGACTGAATTCTAGGGCTGCCCTCAGCACATTGCCCCTAATTGTTTGTGTACGAGCTTCTTTCCCCAGGGGAATGCCAGAGCCTGGGTTGTGGGTGTTGAGCAGTGTTCATGTCAGCACCCGCAGCACCTGGCTCGGAGTCTATATGTCTGAGGCACACAGGAAATATTTGAATGGGAAAATGAAAATGCAACTCTGATAGGTTCAGTTATTTACTCAAAACCCTTTAATTGCATCAGAGAGCCTTTAGAATAAGCCCAGGCTCCTTCCAGGCAGCTGAGGTCTTCCCATGCTGACACCAAACAGCCGTCTTTGTCCCCCAGTGCCCTCCAATACAGACCAGCAGTGCTGTCAGCTGCCCGCCAAATTCATCACATACCAACACATGAGCCTTCTTTTCTGAGTTGGCCATGGACCTTTGAGACCATGGGCCACTCATTGTTTTAAATTTAATTTCATTTTTGTCAACAGGAAATGCATTCACATGGCTTAGCACTCAAAAGATATCAAATGGTCCCCTTGGGCTTTGAGAAGTCTTGTTCTCACCCACGTCTTGCCCTGTTTGCACCTACTTTTATCCGTTGCTTTGGTATGTCTTTATGCCAATGCTTGCAGATAAGAAGGCAGTATAGTCCTAGCCAAGGGCCATCCCCCAAGAGGAGTGGCATTGAAATTCTGGGAGATCTCAGCAGCCGCAGACAGAGCAAATAAACCACTAGTGGGGGCTAAGAAGGGGATAGTGCAGTGCTTGCAAAGAAGACAGGCCCTTTGTTGATGAAATGTTCTTTACCTGACCCAATCTGGGGGGACGTATGCCAACTAAAGTGGGAGGAAATGCAAACTTGGATGTTTCACCCCCAGAAGGACCACAAACACAGCTGATGAGTGAAGCTCAAGGTGAGGCCTCGCCTGGTTGCTGAAGGAATAGTGGCAGCTGCCTCGCTGTGTCCTTCGTCGCACTCTGGTACCATACTACCCCACTGCACAGGTGAGGAAACTGAACCCCAAAAGGGACAACTTGTTCCTGGCCACACAAACCAGGAAGTTGTTGAATTAGGATTTGAACTTGGCACCTGGCTTAGAGGCACTTATTCCCTATGCTCCGCAGGAGATGGAAACGTCGGGACCTAAACACTCTGTTCTCAATTCAGTAGCCTTCAACCCTCCTCTGAGATTTAATGTGCTGCCCACTCAGAATTTCCTAGAAGTGATTTCTGGCCAATGGGCATCCAGGCCCTGAATGTCTCCTGCACACCTTCTCCCTTTCCACCTGGGATGTGTTGACTGCTCACCAACACTCGTGCACACACACACACACACACACACACACACACACACACANGATGTGTTGACTGCTCACCAACACTCGTGCACACACACACACACACGGTGGTAGGGGAGGTAATGAAAGGCAACTGAGAAATTGGCCAATCCTGGTTTCAAAAGTATTTGGCAGAAGAGACTCTAGAAGGTGACTTGTAAAGTGAAGACCTGGTTAATTTGAAGAGTTCAGTTATCCATCCATTACTTTTTAACTGGAGGTCCCAGGTGCACAAACTTCTAAAATTGATTATGAGGCTATCTCTGTATATTTTCTCAAGAGAGTATCCTTTGTTTTCTTCATACATTCAAAGGGTTTAACTAAAAAAGGTCTAAAAGCATTATTGTCTTTGTTATTCAAATGTGTAGATAAATAAAAGTTTATTGTGGCCCTGGCCAGGGTGGCTCAGTTGGTTGGAGCATTGTCCCATACACAGAAAGGTTCGATTTCAGTCAGGACATATCCAGGTTGTGGGTTCAATCCTAGTCAGGGTGCATACGGGAAGCAACTGATCGATATTTCCCTCTCACATCAATGTTTCTCTCTAATAACCATGAAATCATATCCTCAGGTGAGGATTTAAAAAAATAGTTACCAATAGCTGCAGCAATCTTGAGAAAGAAAAACAAAGTTGGAGTGATCACAATACTGGATATGAAACTATGCTACAAAGCCACTGTAATCAAAACAGCCTGGTCCAGGCACAAGAACAGGCATATAGATCAGTGGGCCAGAACAGAGAACCCAGGAACCCACCCACACCATTATGGTCAGTTAATATTTGACAAGGGAGGCAAGAACATACAAGGGAGTAAAGACAGTCTCTTCAATAAACAGTGTTGGGATAATTGGACAAGTACACGCAAAAAAGGAAACTAGACCACCAACTTACACCATACACAAGAATATACTCAAAATGGATAAAAGACTTAAATTAAAGCCCGGCCGGGCGTGGCTCAGCGGTTGAGCGTCGACCTAGGATCCAGGAGATCGGGGTTCGATTCCCGGTCAGGGCACGTGCCCAGGTTGCGGGCTGCAGTCGATCAATGACTCTCATCATTGATGTTTCTCTCTCTCTCTCCCTCTCCTTTCCTCTCTCTGAAATCAATAAAGATATATTTATTTAAAAAAAAAAAGAAAAAAGACTTAAATTAAAAAGGTAACCATGAAAATCCTAAAAGAAAACATAGGCAGCAAAATATCAAACATCTCACATAGTAGAATTTTCACAGATGTATCGCCTAGGGCAAGAAAAACAAAGGAAGAAATAAATAAATGGTACTACATCAAACTAAAAAGCTTCTGCACAGCAAAAGAAAGCAGCCTCAAATTGAAAAGGGAGCCCACTGCACGGGAGAACATATTTGCCAATGATACATCTGAAAAGGGTTAATTTCCAACATATATAAAGTACTCATACAGCTCAACAAAAGGAAGACTGACAACTCAATTAAAAATGCGAAGAGGACCTATATAGACGCTTATCCAAAGAAGACATACAGATGGCTAAGAGACATATAAAAAAATGCTCAGCGTCACTTATCAGAAAGATGCAAATTAACATACAATGAGGTACCACCTCACACTTGCCAGAAAGGCTGCATTCAGTAAATCAACAAACAGCAAGTGCTGGCGAGGCTGTGGGGAAAGGGGACCCTAGTGCACTGCTGGGGGGAATGCAGACTGGGGCAGCCGCTATGGGAAACAGTGTGGAGTTTCCTCAAAAAATTAGAAATGGAGCTGCCTTTTGACCCAGTGATTCCACTTCCAGGAATATATCCTAAGAATCCTGAAACACTAATCAGAAAGAATATATGCTCCCCTATGTCCATAGCAGCACTATTTACAATAGCTGAGATCTGGAAACAGCCCAAGTGCCCATGAGCAGATGAGTGGATCAAAGACTGTGGTGCATCAGGCTGACGAACCTCAGAGGGAAGGAGGAGGGCGGGTGGGTGGAGGGGAGAGAGTAACCGAAGAACTTATACGCATATATGCACAACCCAAGGACACGGACAATGGTGGGGAGAGGGATGGGGGAGGGGGCTGGGGCAGAGTGGAATGGGTCAATGGGGAGAAAAGGGACATCTGTCATATTTGGAACAAAAAAATTAAAAATAATATCAAAAATTTTAAAAAAAATTTAAAAAGACTGTGGTACATTTACAGCATGAAATACTATGCAGCTATAAAAAAGAAGGATCTCGTACCCTTTGAGACAGCATGGAGGGACCTGGAGAGTATTATGCTGGGTGAAATAAGCCAGGCAGAGAAAGACAAGCATCACATGATCTCCTTCATATGTGGACTCTAATGAACAAAATAAACTGATGAACAAAACAGATCCAGAGACTTTGAAACATGCAACAGACCAATATATTTCAGAGGGGGAGGGGGGCAGGGAGAGATTAACCAAGGAACTTATACGCATAACCCACGGACAAACAATACTGTGTGGAGGGCCTGGCAGTGGGGTGGGAGTG